AGAAAAAGTGTCACGCCATCGGCCGATAGCACAGCGGAATACACAGAACGCGTAATCGATTTCGGGTTAAATAATTAGTTTGCCGGAACGGCGCTTGTTCGGCGAAGGCGACCTTGGTTGGCAGCGCGCCGTGAATTTGGAGCGAGCGATGCGGCGCGGCAGTACACCTTTAAGTTGGCCCCTGTGTCACTGACCTGGCCCACGCCACATTTACCTGACGTAGTCCCCAACTCGCGCCGCTCGATATTTGGCACATCGCGCGTTACTTCGGTTCATGCTTGACGTGTGATTATCATTTTGATGTATTATTCACGGACCTATAATTGTAATAATTCCTACTTCAACAAATAAAAATATAAACCAATCTGTAACATTTAAAACCAAATGCCCACGCATGGTGATAAAATTTTGGGGTAAAATAAGCCAATAAGCTTCCTCTGTTGGCGCTATTTTAATTTTAAGCCCTTTGTGTTTGTCTGATTCAAATTTAAAGAAATACATTAAATACTTTTAAGAACTCTTTTGAAAATTTAAAAGGTAGTATAAGAAAAATTAAAAAAAAAAAAAAAAAAAAAAATGCCTAATTGTTCTCCTCAAATTTTTGAAAATTGTCTTTATACAGTTTTGGGCGTTTTCGAGCAAAATTTTAAACCACCTTTTAAACAATTTTGCTTAATTCCGTATTTTTGAAAAAAGAAAATTAAATAAACAGATGAGCCTGCGACGCAGGCCCTGCGCTAATCTCCTTGAACAGAAAATTACAATATCCGATAAAGTTTGGGGATATATATTTTGGATATTTATTTCCTCAAATTTCAATTCCCAGCTATTTTTTACTTAAAAACCAATAGAATAAATTCCATCGCTTTTCTGCAGCGACTTGCACAACAACTGTGGCATTGTCTTTTTCACTGTGCAGCACGAAACACCCTTCGCCTTGATGATAAAAGTTTCACTTGCGTGATAACGCGAGCGACACTTTTCTTCATTATGCAGGAAAACCTTACAAAAGGACGCCGAAAGTTCTTTCTTTTCCTCGTCGTCTGGCAGGTGTGTTTTTAGGTTGAAGGTTGGACCTGGTCGGAAACCAGAGCCGTGAGCGATGTGAGGCTTCCCTGGCAAAATGATATCATTATCTTTTCACCGGGGAAAAAATAAGTAACTCAATTTTCGTTGCGGTAGGCGCTTGGTAGGAAAAAAAATATTAAATGCAAAGAGGCGGATGAAATTTGTGCTGGCAGAGAATCAAAAGCGGCCGTATTTGTAAACTTTGCTCTCATCAGCGTACTTATGGCTTCACGGTGTGTGGGCCCGGCCTTGAAACACGCGAGCGAAAATATAAATAAATATATAAATCCGCGGCTCTTCAATTCGTTGTAACTCATTTCTCGCCCGCCACAGGTGGCAGGTGAGAAAATGCACGGAAAATCGCGGAACGATTTCGCGTCACGCGGCGGCGATTTTGTTTCGTCAAACTCTGCGGTGTCACAAGAGAAGATAGGACGTACGTGTGACACTTCCTCTGATCTTATCGCAGGAAAAGTTTGCACGCAGCTTTCTCAGAAGTTTTGAAAGGGAATGCATGCAGGTGCGAAAATTGAAAATACCCAACAACAAAGAACAAAAAATTTCATATTTTACATTCCTTTTTCTATAGCATTCAGCAAAAGCAAGTTTAAAAAAAATTAATTTATTTTCAATAAAGACTTTTTTGATCCAAAAAATAATATTGCTGAAAAATTTCATGAATTTCAGATAAGTTTGAAAAAATAATCAAATCCTAATTTATTGTATAATGACATTAATTTTTTCATGTGTTTTCAGTTAAATTGTGACAAAACTATGTTTCATCTTTCATCGCTGGAAATATTAATCATCAAATACACAAATTTTAATTTTAGTAAACAGAGCCTAAAAGATGGTGTAGCAAAATTTACATTTTAACGATAAGTATTCTTCACACACAAAAACCCATAATATATTAAAAATTCTGGAAAACATGAGCGACGTTATTAAATTTGCATGCTATTTTCCGCTATTTTCTTACTATTTTCGCCTCGAAGCATACCCTCACACTTTAATATCTGCCATAGCTAAGGATATTCTATTCTTCTCTCAACCCTATGTATAATGCGCCGGAATACGAAACTCTGCAGATCCTCGTCTAACATTATTTGAATATTTCACGAGGAAGAAAGAAAGAAAGAAAGTACGGAGCAAGGAAAATAGCTGCCTTGCCTTTAATGTAGCTGCTTTTTAAAACAAGAGAAAAAGAGAAGCCGAGAGTGGCGAGTGAAGTATACATGGTGGTACTACATGGCGAGCACACACAAGCTGAATATATATGTATGTACGCTCAATTACCCTTTTCTTGCCCCTACGCCTTTCTCGGCTCAAAAAGAAAAGATGCAGAAAGGCGGCAAAGAAGCCGACTAATGACTGCATGTAGCATTCAAATGTGCTCCGCGTGTCATATGACAAATGTTGTTGGCAAAACGCAACGTGCGGGCAGTTTGCAGAATTTCTTTGATATTTAGGTTACAATTATTCCTTTTGAAACTCTTTTGATCTAGAGATAGAATTTAACCATTGCTATTTAATTTTCTTAATTTTAAATCAAGTTTAATTGAGATATGTTGCAATAATGATTATATAAACTTTATTCTAACAATAAGGTTTATATTTTATTACTTCTATAAAGATTAGTTTTTTCTTACCATACCTAGAACTTTCAATCTCAAACTATATCATGCTTGGCAGTTTTTCAGTTTGAATCTGTAGAATATAATTATTATTGATTAAAAATGAAAAAAAAAATGGCCATTATATGCAATCAAGAGAACAAAGCTAAATTGGAGTGAACCGATTTAAATCACATTATTACATTTCGACGTTGGTGACTTTATATAAATTTTTTTCAAGCAATCTCAAAGTTTTGTTAAGTAGCAATGATTTCAAAACACAAACGAATTTAAATAAATAAAAATACATTTAATTTGTAGATGCAAAAAAATTATAAATTAAAACTACTTTTTTTTAAATTTTATAAAACAGTTTAATACAAACAAAATTAAATTAAAAATATTTTATTTTGAAGCATTTAATTTTAACGTGCTTTTTGATAGCAACATACATCCAAGATGCTAAACTAGATGGTACGTGTGTGCATGGTTTATACTGCACTGATGCGTCCTTGTTAGACGCGCGAAAAGAAGTCTTTTGTGCTTGATCATTTTCATGCAGACGCTTGGGAAAAGAAGACAAAATACAAGCAGCTGAGCTAATTATGCCGCACAGACAATTACAATGCAGATTATCATTTTGCTGAATTTTTCCCTCGCACTTGTATCATGCAGCCATTTGTCATAAAAATACACGAAGAGAAGAAGTTTTATTTAATTCGTCTCCGGAAGTGACAACTCGCGAGTCGGTGGGAAGGTCGGGCTTCAGCTGTTACTCATCCATTGTGCACGATGGAAATAATTAGACACGGAGTGATTCGCGGTTTCAATTTATCTTGATCTTAAAACTTATACGGATTAAGATTTCCATGAGACCACCAGAGCAAAACGTATAATAATTAGACTGGTAACAATTGAGTTACTTTATTTTGTATTAAGAAGTGATTCAAATTTTACTTATGCATAGATAAAGTCGTAATTACTAAATTTCTTTTTTCAATTTTACAAAATGCACAAAGGAATTATCTATATTTAATTTTTGTACTAATTTTAAAATTTTTGACTGCACAAATTAAAAGAAAAAACTCCGATTTTAATTCAAAAAACAATTTACATTACAAACAATTAGTGCCTGAAATTTTCTTACAAAATATTAACAGTAGACGGTAAAAAATTAAAGAAAATAAGTATTAAAAATAACATCTCGACCTTCAAAATGTTTAAAAAAATTTTTTTTGAAAAATTAAAAAAAGATGTGGAAAACGATGAAAGTCTCCAGAAATTTTAAATAATGTCTTAAAGTTAGTCCAAAACCAAAAATCTCCAATAGATTTGTAACAATAAATACTGCACAGTGAATTAAGTAGAATGTAAAATGTACTTTGGAACCCCATTAATAGTTGTATTATATTGAAACAATTATAATGAGAGATGTAATACAAAGCATTTTTTCAGGAACAATTAAGTCTTCAGACTCCGAGATTTTATTTTCGGTATGTTTCAGCGATATGGAAACTGGGTTGCAAATAACAAATTGATACTTTTGCACGCATAAGTTGAGAGAACAATCGATAATTTGTTGCCTCATTAAAATTTTTCTGACGCTTGCAGGTTTTCAATACATAGTAGTTTTGAAATCCATTGAATAAAAATTTCACATGGAAGATTTGAAAGATATTATATTCTTTTATGTGGGACATTTTATATAAAGGTGCTTTTAATAGTTGTGCTTTCATGCCTCACTTACAACACACTTTAATCCCCTAGCTTTATACTTTTTCTGCGAATGGCTGCATAACCCTCTTCCTATTACTCAGAGCTCGTGCATGCTGCTGTCAAAGGTACAACATTATTCGGAGTTGCATCAGAGCGGCGCAGTGGAAAATCAAAATTAAGCCGCGATTAAATCGGGAATTAAACGTCACTTCGCGTGCGGAATTATCATCAGCAAAAAATAAACAAACCGACTAATAAGCAGCGTGTTACTATTATTGCCCAACCTTGGCCGTGCATGACAAGCCATCCGTCAGATGCATTTCGATAAAAATAAAAAGTTCTCGAATTTCCCTCGGTGCAATTTTCCATATAATGAAAAATTATTTCATTTTTATCAGCTGCGCGTGCGGTGCAACTGCAGGAAATGGAAATCTCGATCTGATAAACCAAGTCGGAGGGAAATTTAAAAAAAAAATGTAATGAGTATTGTAGGCGAACAATGGCGAAAAGTGGTGAGCGCACGAAAACAGTCAGCCCAGGCGGCTGCCACGCACATTAGCGGCTCTTTGTGCCGCCGCCGCCGCGCCGATGTTGATGACCTACCTCAATGGCGTTCGCAGTGTGTCCTCCCTGTTTTACAAATATAAGGACGCTGGCGCCCGCCGCTGCCGACACGGTGCTCAACTCAAAATCGACCATGGTGCGGTGGCGGCCCTGGAAAACCACATTTAAAATTTAAATTAGTATTTTAAGAACAATAATTCAAGTCAATATTTTAAAAAGAAACTTAAATTTTTCAGCGCAAATGGTGATCAACTTTTCCAACATTGCTGTATTCTAAAAAAAAAACATCTTCTATTTTACAATTGTGTGAACAATTGAAATTTAAAACAAAATGACCAAAATTCATTAAGTATATATACTTAAAAATATTGATAATGCATAAATATAATTATGACAGTTAGATACGTGTAGTATCTAATTTTTTAAACACACACGCCCCTGTTTGCTTGGCAGGGGGCATGTCATCGAACCCAAATGCATTAGGCAAAGAGTGTGTGCATGCACATTATTTCGCAAGAAGGTTGGCCGCGCTCGTTCCGCACTGCTGCAAATTATTCATGCACCAACCCCAATCAATCAAGCGTCACTTTTTATCATTTATCATCGCCGCGCAGCTCAAAGGAGTAAAACTCTTTCTTTTCTCTGTCGGTGCAGCTGAACGCGGCGCCACCAACTCAACTCTCGCCCCAGAGAGCTGTTTGTGATTGATCTTCTGTCTATGATATTAATGACTGCCAGGCAATTTGCGCCGATTGGAGTGAGAGAGATTATTATTCGCTCCTTTGCCAGCGCCACTGCGCGCGTCATCCCCGCGAGTTTTTTTTGCTAATTAATTATTGAGCGCAGAATGCGTTCGAGTTTATATGCAGCGTGTGGGCGCGCAAACCTCAAACCCACGCTCTCGTCAGCAGCCAGATTAATATTTGATCTGCACTGCATCAAACGGAATAAAAAACTCCAGATCGGAATATTGCATGTTTGCCACTTGGGATTTTGGTTTAAAAATTTGTACTGCGAAAATTAAACAAACAGTAAATATTTACGACTTTAAACAATTTAACAGCTAAAAAAACAAACATAAAATTAAAGTTAACTATAAAACGAAACTGTAAGATATATTTGAATTTTTTTATCATGTAACTCGATTTAGAAAGATATTACCTCTGTGATATATAATTTAAAAAAAATGCACAAATATAAAATAATACATTTTATTTTACGACATAAAAGTAAAAAATCTTAACAATACTGCATGGTAAATTTGAAAAACAAAAAAATCAATTATGCACTACAAATTCAAAATTTATGGACATTTAAGTTTGATTAAACTGCAATATATAAAATTGTGTTTGCATTGTTGCAAATTTGATCACACTTGGTACTAACAATAAGAGATTTGGATCGTTTGTTTATTATTAAAGTACAAGCCAATTCTTTGTAAGCCTCGCTGTATTGTCAAGCGACAATTAAAGTGTCATCAGGTGTTTGCTGTACGACTGTCAGCGCCTTCATGATAATTTATTAAATTGTAGTATAATTTTTCCACGGCTCCTGTCACAATTTATTTATATACATATTTTCCTCCGTCGCGATGCATATAATTCTCTCCTCTTTAATAATAATGACAACGTACACGTGTTCATGCTCATGAAAGGGCTTAATTCCTTTACGGCATTTTTATATTCAATTGAATAAAAACGTCAGCAACCTTTTGAAAAATTAAAAGCGAGAGAAGATGCTTTTCAGCTTTCGAGAAACTCCAATTAGTTCTCTGCTCTTTTGAGAGAATATTTTTTTTCATTAGCTCTCCTGAGTTTTTGCAGGAGCGTGGCGTGTCTTATCTCTGCACAAATGAAGTGCGCGCCTTTGAAAAACTTCAAGGAAATATTGCAACATGCATTCCTCGGTTGATGACCATTTGTATTGTGTGGCGGCGAGTGCAAAAAGTTTCGAGCACTTTTTGTCGGACGTAGCCAAGCCCTGCTGCTTGGATATGGATATCGCATCAGCAGCTCAATACATCAATGAAGCTTTAGCATGAAAAGAAATCTCGATTCAAACTCTCATCACAATGCGGAATTGTGGTTCCGACCAGGTTTAGCAAATAGACGCATACTGAACTACAATTTTTATAATATAGAAAAAAATTATTGTGATTATTAAAAACTAAAATAGAGCTGGGGAAATGTAAAAGGCATTTTTTTTACATAAGGTGAATTAATACCAGACTTCGGATTTTCGTTTAAAAAGCAAATCGAAAAATTATAAAAATTAAATTTATTTAATGAGTTACTATTAATTAGAATTTTTTTAATCCTAAATTGTAGCTACATTGAAGATAAACAGAATTAATTGAAACAAATTTCTTGATGTATCTAAGAAGATTTTGAAAATTGGACTCCATGTTGGAAAATTAACGATTTGATTTTCAATAGTTTGTTAAATGAACTACTTCAAAATTATGTGAAATTACGCAGAATATATTATTTTCAACAACTTTGCGCGCGTCCTTAGAGGGAAAAGTTGGTCGTAATTTCTCTCGGACAAGAAATCGCTCTTGTCCATCTGCTGACATTGATGCAGCGGCTATAATGCAGAAAGGAGAGTGACTAACCAACTAAGTCTGCACGCGGTGAACGTCCCTGGTCGGCGGCTGTCATGTCCAACCCTTTTGTGTCGAGTCACGCGCGTGGTCTTGATGATGATTAATCACCTTTCTTTGGGCTGCATGCGTGTGTTGCAACTCGCCGTGCACCGCCTTGTACACCAAGGGTACAAAAGAAAATGCATTTGCGGAGCCAACGCAAAATATATCTCGTAATGAATGCATTTGCAGGCGCAGCACCCATGGCATGCTTGATGGACGGCGATTTATTGCCCGCCGCCGTATCAATCAAGCAGAGAGATCGCGCCGCGGAGATTTTCGCCTGGCAGATGAATTGCATATATTGTAATGTGCATAAGCGAGTGCTGGCCCGATACCCTTCATTCACCTTGGCAAAGGTTTCCTGCTAGCTCGTTAAGGCCGAGTGCAGAATGAAAATCGTGCCATTTTCTTTCCTTTTTTTGCCTTGTTTTTTCTATATAATTCTTTTTTCATTCTTCAAGGTTGCAAAAATACCGCATTTTGTTAATTATTTGCATATTACAAAGCGGACGTGGAAATTTTCAGTATAATTTGAATCTATAATTAGAAAAAAGGAGGAATTGAAGGTTTCTTATGCTGATCAATGTGCTTTAATGCATTTTAAATAAAAGAATATGATATAATAAGGTATAAAAAATGAATAAAAATAATATAAGGCTAAAATACATGATGAAAATGTGTGTTTGAAATAAAAAAAAAGCGCATCACATATAATCATAAAAGTCTAAAAATATAATTTTTTCATTTTGCAATTTTTTTATTTTATTTTAATACTTGTCTTCCATTATAAAATAATACAAGAGTTTATTTAATTTGGTTTAAATCCTCTTCGGTAGAGATTGATCTATAGAAATGATTTGCAACTTGAATATAAAAAGATGTAAAATAATTTATTGTTCATAAAAGCTCAGTATTGATTAAAAACCTTTTGTGGTTGATTATCTCTAAATTGAAAAAAAAAATATTCTCTTGTGTCGCTTGAACATTTAATTAAAAAGACCGTGCTCTAGATTGTAAGTTTACACAGCAACAAATTCCGCAATTATTTACAAGTTACCCCACAGAATGTGTTTTGCTCTTATTAATAATTTTATGGGCGCAAATCTAGTCTGGAGCAGGTGATGGATCTGTCAACAAAAGATCAAGAGTGGCGAAACACAGCTGCAATTCGAGCGCGTTATTGTTGTCGGACAACAACCGACAAGGTGCGTTCGGAACAATACACAAGAAGTGCATCGCGCCCTTGTATTCTTATGCACAGGCAGTACAGTTTCAATCATGTTTTGTGCCGAACAGCAGGTTGCTTGATGGTAATTCATAATTAATTACTCGGCGCCGCACTCCTCTACGAGCTTTGAATAATAGAGGCGGCGCCTCCACAACCTGCTTGTGCATACAATGTGTATGGGTGCATGTATGCATGTGCATATAGAACTTGGCCAACAAACAACAATTTCCCAGAAAGTGGCGAATAATCAATAAAGTGCATTAGCGAGTTGAAGTGAGGCCGCCGTGAGCACCTATTCAGGCAAAATTATTCATATGCCCCCGGCACAAGAGCCGCAGCAACAGGCCATGCACCATTATCTCTGCAGTTGCACTCGACCCTTTGAATTCAGTAGGTTTCAGAAACTGTGTTTGTTACCTCAGTTAGATGCTATTAATGGCTTGACAAGCAATTGAAAGCATGAGATAAGTGATATTGATTAATTTAAAAATTAAAGTCATTTTTAATTATTAAATTTAAAATATAATTATGGCTTTCAGTTAGTTTAGTAAGTTACTATTAAATAAATTAAATTTCAAGTACGATTTTTGTTTTTACTATTCTTCATTATTCATTATCTAGTTTAATTAAAAGTGGTCCATATGATTTAAAAGTTACATATTGTGTCAATTGTCTCTAAAATGTAGCTCTGCTTCGGACATGCTGAAAATTGTTTAAACAGCACTAAAACTTTTCACGTATCAATTACGAAAAAAGCATAATATCAATGTTTAGATTCAAAACTTTTAATTCGATACAAAAGAGCAGAAAGCTATTGTTTATTGAATCAAAAGATATAAATATTTGATCACGTCCTTGAGATATAAATGTAATCAAAAGTTTTGCATTCATGAATAATTTCAAAATTTCATGAACCTTCAGAAAAGAAGAAATGCGGAATCTGCAGATGTTTTGTTGTGGAGATGGTATAAATTTATTAATGAACTTTTGCTCGGTGCTTCCAACTGTCGCTCAACATGACGGATGAATGTGACACAAAGTCACACAGCAAGCGAGATACATTTTATCCAACTCTCTGGCTGCCTTTTTGACAATGAAATGCACGACGGTGTCATTCCACTCTGCATACGTCCTTGCGCACGCCAGTGAGGAAAGAGTTTGCTGAACTTTTTAATCACAAAAATGGGCTTTTGGCGTCTCTCATGCAAATTCCCTGCAGGCGAAGTGGAGATTATTATTTATGCGATACATATGCAGAAAATATTTATGCGAGTC